GTGCGGGGTTTGCTTTCTTCCATGATGATGGGGCTTTTTTTTTTTTTTTCGCAAGTTTTTTTTTTTTTTTTTTTTTTGAACTCGTTGAAATTGAACCAATTTCAAACACCTGATATAAAGCCCAAGAATCTTAACTGTTGGTATTATTAAGACTTAGGTGATTGGGGTGAATGGTAGATCAATAAACACTCGTGTGTGAAAGAGGGGGATAACACTCTTTTGCTATTGTTTGTCAATCAAGGTATGTTATGCGTGATAATTTTTCCATTTGGTATATCGTGGTTGGCCGGAGATAGCAAAACAATTTTCTCTTCGTTTCACACAAGCTAATTACCTAACTAGGGATGACAATGGGACGATTCGATGATGGATATGGAAAAGCGAATCAGCGATGGATATGCCATTCTCATCTTCATCCATTTTTTTTCCCATCTTGCCTTCATACTCCTAATGTTCAAAATTGGGGATTCCCCATCCTCATTACAAAAACATGTATTATTAAATTCAATATATAATATGTGAATATATATTTTGGTGGGAGTTGTGAGATACACCTAGAAGCCACTTAACCTTGGCCGAGTATTTTTATGCATATTATAAGTAAAAAGCTTTGATTTTTAATGTGTCTCACAGTCTAAAGGAATTTGGAGGGAGGGGTTGTTGAGGCCCAAAAAATTCAAGGTCGGGCCCAAATATATTTCTAGCCCAGTACAACACCTAATTCGGGAAAAAATCCGACTTGAGCACGTAAGAGTTAGTCATATGCGCTTGCACACGTGTCACGCTAAGCAAATAAGCAACACGCCACGCTAGAAGCTTAAGTGGGCCCAAGCCACGCGAATACCTGGGGTTTGCTGAGCGGATTGTGGTATGAATGGTTACAAGTATTCACAAGGCCCATTGATGGTCCAATGAGTGGAAGTTTTGGGTTGCTTGGGAGCATCAAAACTCAAACTCATTCCTTGAGCCCAAACATATCGGTAAGCATGAGAGAGATAACCCAATAGCCTATCACCTCAAGAAAAGGCCCAAACATCTTAGAAAATATCCAATAGTCATAGCCCACAATACTTGGAAATATCCCACATGAGTCAAAATATTCAGCACCTTGTCAAAACCAGGGAAACACACGTGAACACAAGTTGCTTCCAGCACCTTGTCAAAACCAAGACAAACCCATATGCACAGGTTCCTGGAAGTAAATCACCTTTTGACCAGCACCCTTACCCATTTTTTCCTCTACAAGCTTTGGTGAGAAAACAAGAAGGAAAAGTGAGTGGCGCCTCACCCACATAGAGAAGTCTAGCTGTGTGAAGGTCTTAGAACTCTAAAAAGCTTCGTGCATACATGCTCAGGCTGGGAAAGTTTCACCAAATAAGATGGAATGGAAGAAAGTGAAGGAAAAGGGGAAAGGGTGGCTTGATAAAATTGAGTGTTCCATCGCTTATAAAAGGAGGCACATTCTACCTAGCAAATGGACCGATCCAGAGCAAGCAACATCCTTACTCATTGCTGAAAGGTCCAATTTCATGCTTTGTTCTTCCATCTTCTTCCACGAAATGATAAGATGAGGTGCTCCGGGCATCCCCATTTAGAAAGAAGGGTCAAAGGTTTTGGGCTTGTAGCTTTCCCCGTCCCCCCTTCGTCGAGTGGTTGCTTGTATCGTTGACTTTGTCAACCGAGCCTAACCAAAGCGTCACAACAACATCGAAAGGTTTACTTTGTCTCCCATAAACACATCCAGAGAGAGCAAGCATCACCTCTCACCTCTAGAACCCTTCAATTTCATGCTATATTCTTCCATCTTCTTTCTTTCTTTCCCATAAACACATCCAGAGAGAGCAAGCATCACTTCTCACCTATGGAATCTTTCAATTTCATGTTATGTTCTTCCATCTTCTTCATTTCTTTCTCATAAACACGTCCAGAAAGAGCAAGCATTACCTCTCACCTCTGGAACCCTTCGATTTCAAGCCATGTTCTTCCATGGCTTCCCTTTTTATTTTCTGTCAAGCCACCTAGGAGCCTAACGAAGTTTTTGTCAAGCTGCTGGAAATTTGCTAAAGCCACCCATGCTTCCATCTTCCCCCTCTCTTTCCCATAAACACATCCAGGGAGAGCAAGCATCATCTCTCACCTCTAGAACCCTTCGATTTCAAGCCATGTTCTTCCATTGCTTCCCTTTTTCTCTTCTGTCAAGCAACTCATGAGCTTGACAAAGTTTTCATCAAGCTGCTAGAAACTTGCTCAAGCCACTCATTCCTCTTCCTTCATTCTTTCCTCCCTTCCTTCAACAAATCCTCTCAACATTCCCTCTCCCCTTTACTTCGAGCCGTTGTTTCTCATAGGCAACCCAAGCCTTCTCTCTCTCATGAATGCTCAGCTCCCATGCCACAAGCTTCTCATGCCAAGCCATAATATTTATTTGTAAGCAACTGTTGGTTTTGTTGGTGAAGGAAGCTAAGATGTTTCCTATGGCTCCACGAACCTTTCGAAGCACTCTTGGGTTCTGATTCTTGAACTCAGACACAAGGGGTAATTTTACCCATTTGCTCTTTACAGCAGTACAGGGCCATCTGTAGCTGCCGGAACGAAAAAGCCCCAGAGTCATTTCATTTTTGAATCTAGAACGAATAGTTTCAAGAATATATATAGTCTCGCTCACTTAAAGACCTAAAAATGAAGTCTTGTGAGGACCAAATTAATTTCAAACAGAAAACTATGTTAAGTTAGATCTGATGCATTAAAACCTTTCGAACTTTAAAATACCCAACTTAGACCCATGTAATTCCATGATCCACTTTTTATAAGAAAATTCTTTTCGCTCTATAGATTATATTTGCCTTTCGAATAAAACTTTGTTGGAAAGCTCAAGACTTGTCCTCCTCTTAGGGACCCTTATTTCGACGTCGTATTTTGTGTTTTTCTTAGAGCTTTACTCATTCTATTTCTGCAAATTTGGGGCAAATCTTTTGAAAATTGGAATTAATTATGGTTCTTCAAAAAGCAAGAGGTGACTTAAATGGGAGAATTACCTTTGGAAAGAAAATAGATCTCAAAAACAAGAAGAAGAAAAAAATTGTTAGTTTTTGGTGAGATCCCGTTTTAAAAAAATGTGAGAAGAGAAGGAAATATGAAGGAGAGGATAAGATGAGTGCAGGAAAAGACATATATATATATATATTCTAAATGGGATGGGTTCAAGTTGGGGATTAGAATTTAGACCAAAAAAAATTTGGGGATTAGAATATCACCCATGTTGCACCCCGAACACTATACTCGAAAATTCCCCCAAACACGTCCTCGTACTCAATTTATATCCTTCATACCCAGCCTATTAGGGTCGAAGCCCCAAGAAGACCCTAACCTGTGGAGAAAATTTCCATCCATAATCCTAATTTTGATTTTTCAATTATTTTTTATTATTTGGAAACTAACAATATAGAGTTCTCAATATTTTCTTAATAAGTTTAGAAGTTTAATATTTTAATTTTATATATGAATCGTTGAGTCCCCGGGCCTAATGGGGAGAGATTTCGAGAAAAAACCAAGGGTGAGTGCCGGGATCTCCGAATTTAAAAATTCTCAGTCGAGTACGGAATAAGAATGGTATTGTTATTCCTATCCCCAAAGCCAACCCAATAATTAATATATTTATTATTAAGTAAATATACATTTTATATAAGTATGTATGGTTGTTATATAATATATACAATAAATATATAATTTAATATTTATTTAATTTTGTCAATTTGAATTGAGATAATTGTGAATAATTGGGTTGAATTGTATAAGTCAATTAAATGCGATTGATGGTAGGTGAAATTAGTGTTACAATATAGGATAAGTATTTTTATTAAGAAAATAAAAATAAGAGATTTAGGGTGGGTTTGGAAGAAAGCCCCCTTACGAGGATAGGGATGGGGGAAGAGGCAGGAGGGATAGGGAGTGGAGACGATGATTGCATTGCCATATCTGGCCCCGAACTATCCCATTGCCATCCCTAATTTGGAGGGCAACATCCACTTCAAGTCAAAGTGTTGCTCCGCTCCTAATCTAGGGATATTAAACATAGTTAATATGTAAATATAATCAAATTCTATTTTCACCTATTTACTACAGCAACGAAGAATCAAATTATCACATCCAAAAAGAGTAAAATGAGTATGCAACGGTAATATTTGACATGTAAATTAATTGTGTTGACACACACAATTCTCTTTATTTAAGAAGTAATTAAAAGAACATTTTTACTCACCATCCTCAATTTATGGTGATCATTATACATGAAAATGTATAGAAGAAAATTAAACTCATCTAAGTCCCCACTCCAATTTTATCCACTTACACTCCTTTTTTAGTTATAAAATAGAGCGTAAATGAATAAAATTGGAGAGATGAAATCACCCACTCTAATTAATTAAGGGTAGTGAGAAAAAAATATTTGTAGCAACAAAACTATCCTTACCCCTTTATTTTCACATCATTCATCTTCACTATTGGGTAAGTTGTGGTCTTTGTTATAATATTCCTAAGCCGTACCTCACTGGAACCTATAAGTTATGAATACCAGTACACCACACAATATTCAGAATAACATTAAAATCACCGCCGTCCTGCACACACCACCCACCGTCAATCGACCACGAACCCAAATCACCACCACCACCATCACCCAAAAACCAATTCAATTCTCTCCCTCCAAACCTTCAAATTCTCAAACTCTTCCCCCACAGAGCAAAAATTTCCCCGCCAAATTAATCCAAAAACCCCCAATTCCCAATTCACCCCCCTTTAATTAAAACCCTAATTTTGAATCCAAACCAAAAACCAATTCAATCAAACCTACTTCACAATTCCCGATCCAGAACATCAAAATCGATCCTTTTCGCGCCGTCGGCCATTAATTGTTGATGGGCACAATCAAGATCTTCAATGGAGCATTGAAACCCAGCTCGTCCCCGCCGCTGCCTCCACCGGTCACGTGCTCTACCTCGTGCACAGAGACTGTTGATGGCTGCCACGAGTTTAAGATCGATGGATACTCGCTCGCCAAGGGCATGGGAATTGGCAAGTTCGTCGCGTCCGATTCCTTTGTTGTCGGTGGCTATACGTGGGCAATATATTTCTACCCAGATGGCAAGAGCGTTGAGGATAACGCTGCGTTCGTGTCTCTTTTCATAGCTCTGGCGAGCGAGGGCACGGACGTCAGGGCTTTGTTCGAATTGACGCTTTTGGATCAGAGCGAGAAACAACGGCACAAAGTGCATAGCCATTTTCTGAGGAGGCTCGATAGTGGTCCCTATACACTTAAGTACCGCGGAAGCATGTGGTATGCACTGAAAATTTTTATTTGAAAGCATACTTTTGTATAATATATATGTATATATGTGTGTGTATGTATTGGATTCTGATTGCGAATATTGTGTTTTAAATTGAGGAAGTTAGTGTTGGATTGGTTAGTGAATGATGATATGGTCTGTCTTTGATATGCAATGTTGTAGGTTTGTTGAGTTAATTAAGTATGCTTACAGGATTAAAGGCTTTTTAACTGTTGAACCATTCTAAGTTATGCGTGCCACAATCTTAAAACACCATAAAATTTGTTTAAATGTAAAGCTAGTAATCAGATCATAAATCTTCTTTGTATAGTGTGGTCTGTAACATTCTTGACTTCCAAAATGGATATCTTCTCTCAAATTATGCCTGGCAAATTGATAACTGCTTCATGGCCAGGACGCTGTTTACACAGTTTAAAATCTACTCTCACGTGAAGTAGATGCTAGCACAATATTCTTGTGTCTTGGCAAAGCCTTCAGTAGCATTTCTAAGTGAGATCAATGCAAAAAATTCTTGTTGGGACTTGGGGGCCTGGCTTTCTTGGAGCAAATATGTTGTATTTACCTTGTCATTATGGTCTGTACAAGACTCACTTATTGCCTATCATTTTGTGTATTGAAAACCTAACTGAATAGGTTCAACTTTTGGATGTTGCAGGGGTTATAAACGTTTTTTCAAGAGAACTCAATTAGAGACATCAGACTTTCTTAAAGATGATTGCCTTATAATTAGATGTCGTGTTGGTGTTGTTAAGACAAATACTGAAGGACCTAAAATCTATTCTATAGCAGTGCCACCTTCCAATATCAGTCAGCATTTCGGTAAGCTTTTAGAAAGTGGAAAGTTGACTGATGTAAGTTTTGAAGTTGATCGTGAAGTATTTTCTGCCCACAAGGTGGTGCTTGCAGCACGATCGCCTGTGTTCAGGGCACAACTCTTTGGTCCGCTGAAAGATAAAAGCACTCATTGCATAAAAGTTGAAGACATTGAGGTTCCTGTTTTCAAGGTTCTCTCTCTCTCTCTCTCTCTCTCTCTCTCCATTCCTCTGCCCCAACATACACACACTCACACACATGCACACAAAACAAAAGCATTAGAAGATGTAAACATCAATGAGATGCCTAATATCTGCTGATTTGCATTTTTACACATATGGCTGAAGAAATGGGAATAATGTAAACAGGTCGGTTGATTTCTGTTATTGAAGTAAATGGGAATAAATGAGCTTACATGATAATAATTCCTCCTCCTTGCTTTGGATGTTTGCAGGCGTTGCTGCACTTCATCTACTGGGATGCTCTACCAGACATGCAAGAGCTTGTTGGGGGCCTAAATTCAAATTGGGCTTCTACAATGATGGCACAACATCTGTTGGCAGCAGCAGATCGTTATGGCCTCGAGAGGCTCAGATTGCTTTGTGAAGCTAAACTTTGCGAGAATGTTGCCATAAACAATGTTGCAACAACATTAGCCTTGGCAGAGCAGCACCACTGTTTCCAGCTTAAAGCTGTATGCCTCAAATTTATTGCAGTGCCTCAAAATTTAAGAGGTAGAGAGCTATTTTTGTAGAGAGTTATTTTTGAAAGTTGAGAAAAATACATGTTGCTTGGTCCTCACTGTTCCTTTGGATATATCTGCAATATCCGTGTTTCCCTTATGGAGAACAGATGTTAGTATCGGAGATAGGATGTTGGGCAATTGTATTTCAGTTCAGAAAAGATTTAAATCCATGGGGAGAGGGAGTTTTGACTTTCATGTTTTGCTTTGAGGGTGAGGGTATACCTTGTTTTGATAAACTTCCTTTCCTTTTTTTTTCCTTCTTTTTTCTTTAATAAAGTATATTTACTTAATTAAAAATATATTCATTGTTTCTTTGTCAGTTGGGAATATATTGTGCTTATTAAAAAAATTATCATCTGGGTTCATTACTTTTTAATTCATAATCAGTTATTGGAGAGATTTGAAGGAAACTTCTATGATGTTTACGGATTGGTTTTGTATTAAGGAAAATTCCTTTGTTGATGGGAACCTGTCGTGCATATATTTTCTCTACTCATTTATTCAATATATTCAAATAAGTCATGGTAGTAATTTTCTCAGAGGTTCAATGCAGATTGAATGTCTCTGTAGCTGCCCTTTTATTAACTGTATATTGACAAAAAGCTGGTAAATTATTTTCAGCTGTGATTGAAACTGATGGATACAAGTACTTGAGGGAAAGCTGCCCTTCTGTCATCACTGAGCTACTGCATTGTGTTGCAAGTATTGGTGAGCATTCTTTTGTTGCTTGTGGATATGGAAAAGGGACATTATTTGATGGCAGCGATACGAATGGAAGGCGGGTTAAAGCAAGGTTGTATTGATTTGGAAAATAAGCTGCAAGAATAAACAAACGTGGAGAGCTTGCTAGGATACCTTCATGAATTGTGCGCTAACACACGACTAATCCATATGAAGAAAAAGAAAAAAAGAATTGTAGTGGTTCATTTGGTTTTTCTTTGTAATATCTTTGTGTTATAAAGGATTTGTTATACATTTTGTAAACCTCTGGTCTCTGCCGGCTATATTATTTTTGTGTGCAGTTTTGCTTGGTCTAGACTGGGTAATCATTTTATGGTGTTAATAAGAGCAGCACGTTTTCTTATCTGTACCTATTTTTTGGGTCACAGCTGCTGAATATATTATCACCTAATCTTGAATATCTTGTCTTATGGTTTTATGGGATGCAATCGGGTCAAATATACTAGTCCCTCAATCCAGCAGAGTTTGTCTTTTCTTTTTGTTGATCATCACACCTACTGAGATGATTGGAGTGGCGAAGTATGCTGCTGAAGTTCTGAATAAGGTGACCATGAGGACTAAGAAAATGAAATTTTTTCGTTTCAAAAGGGTTAAAAAAACATTGCCAAGTTGAGGTTATCCAGGATTGAGTTTTTCTTTTTCCTAATCAAGGGGGTTGAGATAGTTATTAAAGTTAATTGTAAGAGTTTATCTATATATGTTGATGGAAGATGAATCTATTTGCCAATAAAGTTGTAGCTTGGAGGTCTTCGTCTTTCCATTCTGTAACCCTCATTAATGAATGCTCTTATTATAAGGAACCCTATGAATGGGCTGATTAATGAATGTTCTTATTATGTCAACTAAGAACTCTATGAAGGAAATGTGGGTTAGGCAAAAGGAATGTGTCTGCCCTTTGCACCCGAGTTCAATCCCTCTTTCAGTAGATTAGTGTAGTTTAGAATATCACCCTTGTCCACAAAAATAAATAAACTAAGAACTCTATGATCTTTTTTGTCTGAAAATTGTCTCAGGCATGCCATTCCACCAGAGTTGCAACAAGCGAAACTCTTTCTCCATAAAAAAAGATATCATTAAAGCAGGACCAAATTGAAACTAAACATCTCAATGGATTTAAGGATCGACGGCTGGGATATTCAACAAAGAAATAGGCCATATGAATTTCTGCGTTGGGCCATTTGCTTAGTCTAAACTGAGTAATCATTGCGTTCTTATTCCAAGAATTCTATAGTGAACGTCTTAGTCCTTAGGTAAGGTTCTATCTCTTAATCGTTAGATCAAATTGGTTAGTATGATCTAATAATTAAGAAATAGGATCTCACCTAAGGGCCATATATAAAGCCCTCACTATAAAATGACTCGTGCATATTCATGTAGAATAATGTTGTATTTTTTTGCTCCTGTTATGATCAAAAGACAAAAAAAACCACTTTCAAACATAATTTTACATGAAAAATAAAATAAAAATAATACTACTCTTACCACATTCTCATACCACACCACGTTATATGACATAAGGTGGACAACCATATCAATTAAAATTATTTAATATTTTCTTTTCTTTTATGATTTATTAACACTTAAAAAAACTGTTAATTAAACTATCTTTATTAAAATACACCTCATTGATTTAATTGATATCGACATGCCACATCATGAGATAAAAATGTGGTAAATGTAGCATTACTAAAATAAATAAAAAATGATCAATGATAAGTAAGATAGCTAATTTAATATGATTACAAAGAAATACTAAACAGGTAGAGAATTATGCATATAATTGCCACATATTTCCAAACATATTCGAAAGAAAGTTGCAATCAGAGATCATTATTTCAAGAAGAAAACAATTCAAGGTGATATACAAACCCTAATGTTATCCCCGAAAGGGTGAAATGAGAAATAACTCAAAAGTTACTCCTGCCAAAAATGTCACATAGAAAGAACTTGGGTAAAGTCAATGCATAGCTTAGTATTCCTTCATTCAAGTTGTCACATGCCCTTTATGTCTTTGTTCTTATCTGAATCAGAGAGTAACGGAACCATTGAGACAGATCATACAACCCCTTCACTTCGAATTAGTGATATAAAGTACAACTATTGCTAAACTTCCTCCGAAATCGACAGGGCTTAATATTTTTCACGCAGATGTGGCAATAACCAATACATATAACTGATATTTGTATCACTTAAATTGATGAAGTTTCAATTAGTGATGGATCAATCCCGGTTAGTATGTGGTGCATGACTGTCCCATCTAACATTGGTTATGGTTAGTGGATTCCACCATATAAACCCACCATGGAGTCAGTACCATTGACCAGATCCACCTTGAGCAGCAGCTACTTTCCTTGGCATGTACTGAGGCTTTGGCTGCAGACCATTGGAACCTTCAACGCCTTCACAATCTCCCCTCTCATTTTTACAGGGTGGATTTCTTCGAGGATATGAACCTGTACTTGTAGCAGTATACTGGGGTTGAGCAGTTGGATTCCTAACCATCCTTCGCTGCTCAAGAGCCTCTGCTGCAGCTGCTGCCCCACAATTATTAAAACGTAATACCGAACCCACAACTTTCCCAGGCCTTGCAGCTCCTGCATCAAGAACTGGTTACAACCACTCAAACTGGAGCATCATAATTAAAGGACAACCCAACAATGACAATTTGTAATAATTATTGAAAACATCTGCACCTTGGATGGTTTGAGGAACTGGAAGCCTTGTTGTAGGGATCCCAGAGCTCCTGTCGATCTGTGGCTTCTCAATTTCTTTGATGCAGCATTTCGAGAGGTCATCTGCGACTTCTGTTGAATGTTGTACTGTATTATCGGAATATAAAACACATGCCCTGCATGCACAAATTTTAGTCAATACAACAATTTCAAAATTAGATAGTGAGCAGCTTGACAAAAACACGGTATTAAAATTTACAGGCGATGCTCAGAAAACAGCAACTACAAGGGATACCTGGGTAGTGATGCATGTGTTCTTTCAGGCGGAACAACAGTTGCACCATTTCCATAGTGCTCCTCAAGATAGGCAAATTGCTTCTTGAAATGGTCAACAGCACTGTATTGAAAAAGTAAGTAAATTAACAATTATGAAAAAGATTTCTCCAGGGTTAAAGCTTAATTCTATCCTCATGATGTAAACAAAAGAGAAATCATCTATTCCACAGGAAGAGCAGTCAGAATTTTATTTGGAATTTCCTGCAGTCATATATGAGTACAATTAATAAGCATACCTACTCTGAACAGAATTGATGTAATAGTAGGACAATCGAGCCTCTTACATATTCACAACTCAGAGTATTAGTGGCACATAAAATGTTTTCCATAAACATTAACAGTTTTATTAAAATATCAGACAATGTTGACCAGCCACTTTATTTTTTTATGAGAAACACAGAGGAAAATACCTTGGATACACGACTACAAATGCAAAAGGTTTGCAAGAGCATGTATGAGTAGGATGTTTTCTACTAGAATAATAAATATAAGATTTCAAAAGAAAAAACCTTGGATACATGAAGCCCGTTGGTTCTGATCCTTCTAAGTACTCCTTCAACATCTTTGGATGGTACTCAAGAGTCTCACGGTAAATGAGCTCTCTTACATCTTCTTTGGTTATCCTTCGCCTCTCAAATTCAAATTCCATCTTGGTAACTGGTTGAGCAGAAGGTTCTCTCTCCACCTTTGCCAAACCCTTAAAATAGGGATCAGCAAGGGCCTAAAAGAAGCAGAAAATATCTCTATTAGAAAAATAATATGCATAGGGGAAAGTACTGATGAATTTCAATGAACATTTACCTCTTCAGCAGTAGGTCTATCCTTTGGTTCAAATGCCAACATTTTTTCTAATAAACGAAGAGCAAGTGGGTCTGCATTCGGGAATTTATGGGAGAAAGGAATTTGCTTCTTCTTCCGCATACTGCTTAAGTATCTGCGAGCTTTCTCATTGCGTACCTGTTTGATAAAATTAAAAATTAGACTCAGACAATGAACACACTAGAAAATGGGAAATACAAGCGCAAACACACATCCTAACTATGTGAAGACTAAGTTTATTACAGGAAACTGACCCTAGCAATTGCTTCAGCAGATGGTGTCCCCAATAAATCAGTCATCAGATCCAATTGATGGACAACATTTTTGCCAGGAAAAAGAGGCTTTCCAGTTAAAAGCTCTGCAAAAATGCACCCAATGCTCCATACATCTATTGCAGGTGTATACTGAAAATAGAAAACAAGGGATCAATAGACTGATAGTCCCACCTGGAAAAGGAGAAAAAAAAGTAAAGCAAACAAATTTCTTACAGCAGACTAAGATGGCTATTATTGGATGACTGAGTGACATAACTTGCAATGGTTACTGTTCAATGCCATTACAGGAAGTAGAGGTAATCCCATTAGGAAATAGTTGGTAACGTCAACCCCACAGATAATGCAAGGCAAACAAGTATTCGCTTGTCGTAGAAGATAGATAAGGTATGGCTCATTCAACTATTCTATTGTATAAATGAACAGTCTTTCAAATAGAAACCAATTATTTGAAGGGTTACAGATGCTGTCTCACGTCCCAGGCAATGCCAAAATTTTAGAGGAAACAAAATTTTCCAACAAAAGAAAAATAAGCTAAGATAGGCTTGCTAAGATAGATCTAATAATCAGTCAAAAGAAAAAATATGATAACAGTGTTCTAAATCTACTCATAATAAGTTAAGGAGAAAGGACAGGTGCTTAGATCTTCACATCACTAAAGTTCACCACAACATTTCATTTTTAAGAAAATTGGAAAACAGAAGAGATGAGGAAACATTACAATTTACATGTAATGATGCAATATTACAAAAAAAAGAAGTTGGAAAACAATTCAAAGGATCATTGCACACCAGATGAAAAGATCAAATTGCATCCAAGAAAGTGTAAGGGATAATGATTCTTGCACCTTTGAGAAAAATGAACCACACAATTCAGGAGCCCTATACCATCTTGTGGCAACATAGTCCTGCATGTAGAAGACATGGAGTTATAAATGACGAATCTGAACAAAAACTTGCATTTTTAGAAACCATGCATATCGGATACCATGGGGAAAATGAAACTCATTAGTTGTTCACTTAGAAACTTACCGTCCAAAATATAGCAGTAGGGGTATCATTGAAAGCTACTCTTGCAAGACCAAAGTCGCATATCTTGAGTTTGCAGTCAGCATTTGCTAAGATATTTTTGGGTTTTAGATCTCGGTGAAAGACATTTGCTACAAGACCAATATATGAATAAAATCAGAACCTGCATTATCATGATATACTTGGAATTTGAGGTTTAAAAAAAACTGCACTAATGCTAAATCTAATAAAGTAGTGCAAACAGGATCAGAAGTGTCAAAAGTATAAGACTATGACCTGTGTGTATGTACTTCATGCCTCGAAGAAGCTGATAAAGAAAGAACTGATAATGTTCTGGTGTCAAATCGTCATTTGCTTTGATAACCTGGTGTAAATCAGATTCCATGAGTTCAAAGACAACATATATGTCTTTGAATTCCCTTCTGGATGGAGGTAACAAGATGTGCTTGATCTCCACAATGTCTGGATGACGCAGGAGCCTAAGAAGTTTAATCTCACGAAGAATGCGTGTGGCATCCGAGACATGTTCAAAGATATCATTTATTTTCTTTATCGCAACCTTTTCTCCAGTATGTGTATCAAATGCAGAGCAAACAACACCATAGCTTCCTTTACCAATTACTTCCTCTATTTTATACCTACTACCCTCACCATATTCTGTGAAGAAGTCCACATCCGCAGATGACTGCATGACCGAAAACATACCATTTCATCATCATGACATCTTAAGTGAAGTTATTATGCAATTGAAGTGATTCACAACATTGGGTGGAAACAGTTGGTCTGAGGACCTTCCAGAATACTACAATGACTAAAAGAGACCAATAAAACTAAATAATTCATATGTTGCAAATTATGTACAAGAAGATGAAAGAATGTCTGGAATTATTTGCCCATCAACAATAATTGAAATGCAAAACAAATCCTCAGTCATAATGAAAGGCAATGCCAATCTAACCTTGTAAATCACAATAAGAACATCACTAAACCAGGGCGAACATCCACTAACTATTTTCTTGAAATATATCTTTCCACATTTTGACTGAAAACTACAAATACTTATTATGATCAAGGAGGTAAACGGCAAGAAAAAGTAAAGAATCATAACAGAAAGTTTGTAAATTATACTGAATGTTTATTGGTTATAGATAAGAGAGATTCCCAGCTATGCCTAAACTAGCGGCTTTGGTCCATGAACTAACCATAAAATGTTTACGACACAAGACAAAAACTAAACAATAACAGCTTTACTTGACAAAAATATTAAAGTGGGCCCTTCCCAGACAACAAAATGCACGGCAGAGAACTGAGACATGAACATGGCACTCTGTTCAATCCCATCCACGTATAGGAATAATACCTTAATACAACAGAAAAATCCACTAAATATGGACCACATACTAATATTAGAGAACCACAATGAGTTTGTGAACATAAAAATTTGCACCAGCAAGAGATTATCATGAAATAATTAACAAATGCAAAACCATTTCTTCTAATAACATGAACAATAAGGTACCAATATCAGTAAAACATCAGAAGACATCAGACATGTTTTGCATTTCTGCAAGAGTGTATTAAAAGTGACTGAATTTACCTTTTTTCTTGGATCAGGCTGCATCTTAGCAACAAAGCATCAAAAAACTTTCTAAGCAACAATCCAACGGGTGCATCTAACACTTAAGTTGAAACTCAAACCCAGATCACAAAAGCAGCAAAAGATAAGCCAAATCTCTCTCAAATGCAAATACCCAGATGATCAAATCTCCTCAATATCACCAACATCCAAAATCAAAAACTGAAAAGCTTCTATCTGAAGCGCGTTTAGTCTAAAATAAGACAGCTAATAAGGTTGGGGTTGCTTTGGGGCTGAAATAGCAACCCCTTGTATTCAAATGAAATACTTAAACAAAAAGGTAAAGGCGGAAGTATCTAATTTAGTTGGAAACGAAGAGTTTACAGATCACAGAGTGAAAGTGTGAGTTCTGCAAAGTATCTAGCGGAAATAACTAACTTTGGAGGATCTAACAAGGCGGTAATCTCTAATGTTTTCCAAGAAAAACAGGAATATATATGTATATATATATATATATAAACTTATAGTGAGAGAAAAGACAGAATCTTTTGGAGAAAAACAGAGTAGAAGTGCTTTTGTTTTGTAGCCGAAATTGGGACTTGAAGTGGCAGATAGTTGCAGATTGAATTAGAAATTTCTGAGTGCAAGTGCTTTTGGATCTCACAGAGAAAACGAAGAGGGAGAGAATCTCAGAACGGCGAACTCCAAGTCGGAGCCTTTGGAGCGAAGAGAGAGACAGAGAAAAACAGAGAGAACAGCAAAATGTTTAAAGATGGGGCATTATTTTGCATTATTCTTTTATCTCATAAAATAATATACAGGGTGGGGACTTAAAAATAATAATTTTCTTTTCTTTTCTTTTTTGTGCTGAAATAATTATATTCTTTGTGAAAATACCTCTTTGCCATTCACTTTAGGCTTTTTTTCTAGGTTTTTATTTTTATTTTTGACCTTTGCTTTACTAGAGTAATAAATAGCACATTTGCATCTATGATTTGGAGCTACTTGAGATGACATTGAAGAAATATGAATACCTTGGACCCTAACCAATCTAATTGTCTTTTTGGTTCCCTTATTTTTTGGGTACTTAGGTTTCCTTTCTTTATACCTATGACACACTTGTGATTTGTATGCGATGTAACAAGATTTTAGATTATGAAGTGAGAATGTGAGGATGTGACAGATGAAATGAGAATAAATTGGTCGAAAGCAAAAGAAATTAAGATAAAAGACAAGAAAACGTTATGTAATTACCATATTATTTTTAGCTTTTAGCTTTTTCTAAAAAAACGAAAAACAAAAGTAAAATTACACAGAGGCTCTTCGAAGAAACCGAACATCTTTCAAAATTTGCTAGAGCATCAACTACTATGTTAGCTTCCCTATAAATATGTCGCACCACATGAAGACGAACATCTTTCATGCAATCTTAACATTGTCATTCTAATATTGGATTAGTTTTTAGCTTTATTATTAATGCAATTTTAAATTATATAGAAATATTAATAAAATTTATATATATTTGATTTTTTTGGGCTAATGATATATAAATTTGATTGTTTAAGAAAATAAGAAATTTGAAATAATACTTTCAGTGTTTGGAATCCTTTATTTTCACATGACCAAATTAGCAATTTGTATTGATGTCACGTTTACTTACTTTGTGAATTTGAATGATTTTAATTCATAATGTCATTGTGTTTCCTTACACGCATATATATATGAGTCTCACATTACAATTTGTTCTATGATTCTTCTCTTCTCTATTCTTCACCTCCCCGATTCATGACTTCTTTAATTCAAAGTAATTCTTTAACTTGAGAATGCTTTTGCATGAAGCACTTATATTCATACACGATTCTATTAGAAAAAATGTCAAAAAATTTATTGAAAAATTCAAGTGCTTCGAAGTGATTTATGAAGAAGCACATGTGAGGTGTTTCTCCAAAAAGCACTTTTGTGACCTATAAGCACTTATAAGTTTTTATGCCAAACGAAACGTTTATGGTTGTCAAGAAGTTCCTTTAGTCTTTGAGAAGCAACTACAAACACGCCCTAAACATGCAAACTCCAAAGGACATTCCTTATTTTAAATTATAACATCCAATTGAAATTTAGCTATTTTTGACGTACTTATGTAATTATTATTGGAAATTTTTAATATTTAATATTAAGATATTTCTTATGGTTGGATGTATAAAATTAGAAAAATTGCCACTGAACGATTGCATCACCTGCAATTTCAAAAGTATTGTATTAGGAAAATTTACATAAATATCATCTAAATTTTTGGGCATGTGAGCTAATATCACCTGAACTTTGAATTTTTATTTTTAACCATCTAAACTTTGTAAAGTGTTGCAATCCACCACCTATATCTAACTCCGTTCAAATTTCGGTTAAGTTTAATGGTCATTCTATCAACTCACTATAACTAAAAATAATATAAATAACATAATTTAGAAATAAATAAAAAATTAACCTAATTGCACCACACCTTCCCTAGCCCTACCCTTTTCCAACGCCAATTCTAAAGATTCAAAACTCATTTTTTTTTTTAATTTTTCATACAAACTTTAGAAAAAAAAAAAATCAGAAACTCATCCATCATTTAGACCACGTGTGATATATACCATTTATATTAGATTTAATTTTAATTTAGGTGCATAGGCATAGCCATAGCATGTTGTGTCGATATAATTATTTATTTATTTATTTTATTTGGAAGCTGCTGTGTAATCAGGTTAACTTTTTTTTTTTTTTTTATAATAATTTTTTTTAGTAAATGTGTAATCAGGTTAACTTTTTTTTTTTTTTTTATAATAATTATTTTTAGTTAGAGTGAATTGACAAAAATGCTTTTAAATTTAACGGAAGCTTTAACAAAGTTAGACATAGGTGGTGGATTACAACACTCTACAAAGTTCAGGTGGTTAAAAATAAAAATTACAAGTTCATGTGGTATTAGCACACAAACCTAAAAGTTTAGATGACATTTATGCAAATTTCCCTTTTTAAAAAAAATTATTTATAAATTTGTAGCTTTTCATATGGGCATTGAACTTTTTTTTTTTCCTTCAATTTTATATCTTTTTTATTGTTCTGAATTTGCAATCTTAGTTGGGATGCCTATGTCAGAATTTTTTCGATCATGTGTGATTGTTAGTGTAGGCACACCAAATTGTCTTAATTTTGATGTTATTGTAATGTTCCTTTGTGGCTAGTTTGTATGGCCCTTTGTATCACTAGTGACCAAAATTTCTCCAAAAAAAATAAAGATAGGCACCTTTGTCATTATGTATACATCAAACCATTTAGTAGATTTTTTAATAATATTTTTCTTCATATTATACGTAAATTTGAGAGTTATATTTATGTTTTCATTTTTTTGTTGTGAAAGTTCGAACATAATTTGTGTTCGTTATTCTTGTAAATTATAGCAATTAAAACAAATTTTTTTTTTTCAACAATAATTGATAAAGACCAAAATAAATATATCTCTACACTCATTAGAGGAGGTAACTTTTGATAACCATTAAAGAAATAAACTTTAGAGAGCTAGGACATCGAAATTAGGAAGTGTTTTCTAAAAGTGGGTTTGATAACTATTTTAATTTTTAATTTTTAATTTTTTTTTTGAAGGAATGAAGAAGGGTGAGAGAGAAATGAAGGACAATATATGAGAACGAAAAATAGAAACCACCTTTAAATTGTTTTAGTTTATAGTTTTCATTTTCTGTACCATTCCATGTGCATTTCTTCTACATCCATTCCACCACCCTTTCTCCATTGTTCTTCATCCCTCATTTCTCCTATGCATTTTCTTTATATCGCCAATAAAAGACAAAAATTAAAAACTAAAAAGAAAATGTTTATCAGCCGAGCCATAAGAATGATTGTGATATAATATAACAAACTATACTATTCACTTCTTGTTGATGCCTAAAAATGGACGAGCATTTTTGGGCCCAACTTAGTGATGTTGTGTCACCTTCGACCTCATTGGCTCTTCGGTAGATGAGGCAAATCTTCAAGACAAAGAGCAACGATAAGACCTTGAGCACTGGTGTGGTATTGACCGAAGACTTTCCAATGCTTAAGTTAGCTTAAGGACAGAGTGAAGAGTAATTTGAACAGAGTAAGGGCTAAGTAACCGAATATAACAATTACCTCATTTTGGGGACTTATGTCCCTATTTCTATATCTTGGGAAGTGTGCACCTTGAGTGGGATTTCGATGTGGGACTGTGGGCATTAACTGAGAGGCTACCACTTGTCCTTTGTCCAACTTGGTAAAACATGTGACTTCTTTGGCCGGATCAGCATGATAGGTTGCCGAAGGCTCAACCTGCCAATGATTTGTACGAAGGTAGAGTTGTCGAAGGCTTTCCCTATCGATGGTCATTTTATGAGCCTCAATGCTTTGACTGAGCTTTGTGGGCCCTTTTGTGGGTTCCATGTTTCACGTTCCACGTGTCGCGGAATGATTGACTAGTTAGATATGATATAAATGTTTGTGCAAATTTTTACGGGAGAATATTCGCAAGAGATTCTTCACCCTTCTAGCTTATTTCTCTATCTTCCTCCTCAATCCCTGTGAAATAGACTGGAGTAAATAGACCACACCCAGGGAGTGTTGGCCAAAGGCCCTCTGATGCCTTAGTAAGTTAGATGATCTTGAGAAACGAAAATAACAGAGAAGGTCAGAATTTTCTCTATAATTCAAGAGAACTGGGTGGCTGGAGCAGTGAGAGAGAGAGAGAGAGGGTGGCTAGAAAGAGAGAGTTTGTAGGGTTTTTTTAGAATTACCTCATGTGTTTGGTGTAGTTATGTATTTATAGTGCTCTTGCCTTCTAGGGTTTTTCAGAGAATAATTCCCATATGAAAGGGAATTATTCTCTCCTTTAAATAGAGAGATTGAATCAATTATAGATTTAATGAAGATCAAATCCCTAATTTACGGTATTATTCATATTTTAAGTCAAAACAATTGACCAATTAAATAGAGCACAATTATTGACCTAGAGAATATTCCCATTGTCCACGTGGTGCCTCATGATTGGTTGCCGAAATATTTGTTCCCACAATAAACACTTCTTATTTCTAGTTTATCACGTAGCGGTGGATGTATGCCAACAAGATCATGGCACTCTACTCATATACGCTTATCATCCTAGGACATCTGGACAAGTTTATAGAAAAATATACATGTAAAAAAAACAATTATTTTCAATAAAGATGTAAAAAAAGTATTTAATTAAGATGATAGCACAATGAAAAAACGATGATATTACCAAATATAAATAATAAAAAGGTGATGCTAACGATAATGTTTTAGAGATTCATCGACGAAGGTGGGAACTGCATTTAACAATTACTTGGTTAGTAATAGTATTATTTGTTCCAACCTAACTGGTGTGTTCCAACCTAACTGGTGAACAGTGGACTATTAAAAAAAAACCAAGTAAATAAAGAAATAAATCTGTCAGAATTTCGATGCAAGAATGAGTTTGTATTTATCCATTGGTAACTGGAAATGGAGTATTAAATTATATAAACTCATAATTCACTGAATATAAACATTCACTATGATGCATTGCTGCCCAGGTGCATGTGCATCACATGGGATCTCCAAAGGAGAATCTTTTATACTCATGAATTGGGAGTGTTGAAAAATCTCATGCACAACTTTGTCTCGATAGTGTCTCAAATTTAATCACATAGGTTGATACAAATATGATCACGTCTATAAACCCATTAAAGAGTGATCATTTTTATCTCAAAA